TCTACATTTGTGGGCTGCCTTGTTCCTTGTTGAGTTGTTGCAAGAGGTCCCAATTATGACATGCAGCAATGCTAATACCCCTTCTGTGAATACAGGTTATTTCAAGCTTTCGTCAGTGGCAACCACTCTTAGGCAGCAGCAACTGGTTTTGGAAATTTCCCTGATGTCAGTACCACCTGGATGTGGACCTTTGCTACCTGTATTAATACCAGTGGCCTCATTTTGCTGTATCATTACAATTTGGCTTCTTATATTAATGTTTGAAAAGGATTAAAGCTGGTATTCTAGAACATGCCCTTCACTGGTTGTGTAAATAAAACTGTAGAATGACACTTCAGATGAAGTTAGTGTGATTTTAATTGTGCACTACAACCAAGCTGTAACCAGTTACTAATTTTAGAATGTAATCCCAGGACAATATTAAGCAAGTAGCCTACAGTGCTTCCTGTGAAATAATGAAGGAGGGCATTTCTGTATTCGCGGACTTCTTGGGGTTTCAGAGTGGGTTTATATGATTTTCTTTTTTTTTTTTTTTTGGTAGTTTTATTTATTCTATCAGTCTTTTTAACAAATGTTTATTGCTGCATTTTTTTTCCAGTGTATCATTGTTTTACTGCCCTTGTAGTACTGGAATTTAGTTGGAAGAATAAAACATTTACTTCTGTTCTGCTTGTTTCTTAATGTACAGATGGGGGGTAGTATTTGAATAAAGTCGGTGTTTTAAAACATAAGCATTTTCCAGAAATCAGTGAAGTTAATTTTCTAAGGTTTGAGTGCTATTTCAAAAAACTGAGTTCTGATTCTAAATTCCTTCTTCTGTAACTTACTACTTGATAGAATATTATAGATATCTTAACTGCTATAGAATTTTTACCTGAGATATCAGTAGAAACCTGTTTTTTTCTTTTAAGGACTTGATATGAAAAAGCATGATTCAGCAAATCTGACTCTTTCCATACATGGTTTCCAGACATAACTTTCTTATAATGAAGTGAGCAAAAAAATGCTTCAGTGAATTCTTTTGTTGAATTCTAATAGCATATTTCCAAAATTTAAGACAATCTTAAATATACAATTATAATTGATCAAGTTAGTAAAAGGATTTACTTTTTCCTTTTTAGCTTAGGTAATTACATTTCACCAATTCTTTGTTTAAAACAAGCCTAAAAAGTGGTTTCACAAGGTGGCCAGGCAATTTATATGTCAATTAGATTGAGGAACATTGGTATAGCACAGGGTGGCAACAAGGTACATAATTCTACCTCCATTTAATGGTCTTAGAACAGAGATTCTCAACCTCAGCACTACTGGCAGTTTGGGCCAGATCATTCTTTGTTGTGGTGGCTGTTCTTGTGTATTATAGGATATTTAGTCACATATCTGGCCTCTACCATTAGAGGCCAGTTAAACCCCTTCCCCCAATTGTGATAACCAAAGTGTCTGCAGACATTGCCAAATGTCACGAGGGACAAGAGTTCCTGGCTAAGAACCACCGGTTAGCAGGATAGCCTGTAGTCCCAGCTATTCAGGAGGCTGAGGTATGAGAATCGCTTGAACCTGGGAGGCAGAGGTTGCAGTGAGTTGAGATTGTACCACTGCACTCCAGTCAGGGTGACACAGTGAGACTGTGTCTCAAAAAAAAGATTTTTTTCTTTTACAGCCAAATTTCTGCATTATCACTTACCCAAAAGTCCTAGTTTATAGGCTACTCTGACTTTAGATGGGTCCATTAGTTGATTAGTCCAAATACCAACCACACATGATTTCAATAGGAAGATTATTTTAGCTACCTAGGGATTCTGAATTCCCCAAATCCCTGAAATTGCTTGTAATTAGTATCTGCAGAATTGTGTGTTAACAGTCTCATTCTTTTAAGTGAAAGGCAGTACTGATACAGTACTGTACTATGATCTGTTTAGTAAATCTCTGATTAACAAGTGCACATAGCTATAATCCTTCTATTTTTTGAAAAACAGGCAATCTGAGAAAAATAAATATTGGATATTTAAAATACTAAAGCTGTCTTTGGCCTATGGCAAGACCCTAAAGAAAATGGTAGAAGATTCTCAGGCTCTACTTATCCCTAGAGACTGCTTTAGACAATTGGGGGGGGGGGTGGGGAATAACTTTTAGAATCTGTTTAACATGCTGCCTAGGTGATCCAAGCAGCTACGGTTGCGAATGACTTGTTTTTGCCCCGTTTGGGTTCTCTTTACTCCCGTCAAAATCGTTTAGTAATTGGTGTTAAGTGAATATTCTACAAAAGCACCCTAATAGTCTGACTCTGTCTACTGATGGATATATGGCTCCCACAATTCTCTGCTCCTGCATTTGCCCTAGGTAAGGAGCACTAGATGCAAACCCATGTCTCAGGCAAAGGATACAGCTCCAGCAGTCCTCTCTCTAATACATCTATTTTCTCTACTAAATCACTTCCAAAAGCATCATTAAGTTACTAAAAATCTTTTGATCCTATATCCCTTGCTAGTGATTATTTTACTGCTCCCCTTTATAAAAGCAAAAGTCAAGAATTTTCTAAACTTCCTCCAGTTTATTACCCCCTCCTTTTTTCAACAACTTGTTTTATTAGGAAAAATATTCCAACAGAAAGGTTGAAAGAATAGTATAATGGTCCACTTAAATTGAACAGTTATTCATATTTTACCATATTTGCTTTGTATGAAACTATTTCAAAGGAAGTCGTAGACATGACAATACTTAAACATGCATCTCCTAAGAATGTGATTCTATATAATACCATTGTCTAACCTAAAATTTAACATCAAGTCACTTCAGATTTTTTCATGTGTCTCTTTTTTAAATAACTACCCTCATCCCCCAAACAGGATTCAATTAAGATTTTCACTTTCTGGAAATACTAGTCCTGCTGTCTTGTTGAGTTTTTTTGGTAGTGTCATTAATTTAACTTCTAATATCCCTTTGAACTTCCTGTAAACTGCAAGTTAGGCCTAAAGTCTTTGTAAGTTTCAGGTTAAACTTTTTGTGCAAGAGTGCAAGGTGATGCTGTTGTTTCCATATTGCATCACACAGTTATGGCTTTTCCAGGCTGCTAAGTTTGGACACTTGGTTGGGTCATCTGATAGGTGATTAGGGTTCGTCTCCACTACTCTTAGTAAAACTCATCAAAGATTTCCACATTGTTAAATCTCATCAGCAGCTAGCATTTTACCTTTGAAGCACTCTTCGGTTGTCTTGCAAAATACTACACTTGCTTGATATTTCTCCTTTACTGGCTGATCCTTCTCAGTCTGTCTTTTGCTGCTGGCCCAATCTTCATTTCCCTAAATTTTGATAAAACATAGATGTGTCCCCCCGCCCCCGAGCTCCACCTTGGGCTGCTTACCTCCTCTTAGTACTCATCTTGGTGATCTCATAAGGACACCAGATTATATTAACCTGTGTGACATCTTCAGTTAAGTGTCTACTAGACACCTTAAAATTTATGTCTAAAACTTACTTTTGCCTCTGAAATTTTCCCTCTCGGTCATCCTTAATGACTGTTTTTCAGGCAGAAATGGTCTTGGACTCCTTATATCCTTTAAGCTTAGTTCCACCTAAAATCTTACCATCTCTACTTCTATTACCCTAATCCAAGACACTATCATAGCTTGCTTGGATTATTTCTGTGGTTTCCCAACTGGTCTTATTTTGCCTCATTTGTGTCTCCTCTCACCCATCCTATTCTCTCATAGCAACCAGACTGATCCTTTAAAAGTCAAAGTCTTGCTTAGATGGCTTCCTAAGTAAAAGAAACCTTACAATGGTCTATGGAGCCCTAAATTACCTGCCCTCCACCCCGTTTCATTCAATTCCTATTAAATTCTTACTGCTCACTCTGCCTTGTCCACACTGGCCACCTTTGCTGTTCTTCCAGTTGATTATTCATGGTATCTTGGGATTTTCCCTTTTTTAGTCTTGGCGACATTTTGATGTTTTTTTTTTTTTTTTTTTTTTTTTTTTTTTGAGACAGAGCTTTGCTCTTGCGCCGACTGGAATGCAGTGGCACAATTATGGGTCACAGCAAACTCCCCTCCCTGGTTCAAGCGATTCTCCTGCCTCAGCCTCCCAAGCAGCTGAGATGACAGGCATGTGCCACCATGCCAGCTAATTTTGTATTTTTTAGTAGAGACAGGGTTTCTCCATGCTGGTCAGGCTGATCTTGAACTCCTGACCTCAGGTGATCCACCCGCCTTGGCCTCCCAAACTGCTGGGACCACAGGCGTGAGCCACCGTGCCCAGCCAGACATTTTTTTGAGATACATTTCATCTAGCATTTTTATGTGCTTGAAGCAGGGAGTGTGGTGAGAAGGGTGACCCATTAATGTTGTCTCAGCCCACCATGTTGGCAGAGGTCTAAGGTGTTCTTTATTCTAAGCTCGTATTAATACCTCCTTTTACATCCTTGAATGAAGGAGGTTTGATTATGCAGCTTGAATATCCCAAATCTCAGATCTGAGGTGCTCCAAAATCTGAAACTTTTTGAGTACTGACATGCTCAAAGGAAATGCTCACTGGAGCCTTTTGGGTTTTGGATGCTGAACTTGTAGGTATGCAAATATTCCAAAATCTAAAATCCAAAAACACTTCTGTTCCCAAGCATTTTGGATAATGGACACTCATAAAACTCTTCAAAGCCTGTGAGCACACATGCACACACACAATCCTGCGATTACATAGTTCCAAGGTTTGCAAACCAAAATATATGCATGGTAATTTTGTATGTTAGTAAGTAGTCTTAAAGTCCCAGAATTCTCTCAGGAACAGAGCATTAAATAGGAAACTTTAGCTAACTTTATTTCATTATGTCTTGAGTTTCTGCTATGGAAGAGATTGAGATGTCATTCATCTAGGCCTTACTTTCTTCATCTGATTTTTATTTGTTTGGGATGTGATTTTTAAAGGCCTTACTGGCTCCATGATGGGTCATCCAGAAATAGAATATTTACTGCCTTTAAGCATAAAGCCAAACAGTTTGGACCTTTTTTTTTAAGTTGTAAGACTAAAGGAAATGGGGAGGCAGAGACAGTTTTGGAACCTATGTAGTTACCAGCAGAAACAAACCTGGAGGATATTCATGTTTACCTACTGTCTACTACACTAAAGTGAGGAATGCCAATGCAAGAAATTGGGGGAGGAGGAATGAGGTCTGTTAAACCAACTGCAAATTATACTCCTGGATAAAGGAATTTATTACATTTATATACTATAAGTTCAAGAATGATTTACTCACAATTTAGTAATGACTTTGTGGAAAGTACAGTAAAATGTGTGAGCAGTATTAGTTATGTATTGTTTGTTGGATTCTAAAGTACTCCACAGGTGTTTTGATATATGCCCATTTGGGGTTAGCAATGTACTTTTCTGGTTAAACATCACATGAGGATTAGACATTTATCTTCTCACCAAAACAGGCTCCTCTAGTATATGTAAATATGATAGTTCACCTTTTTCTCTTAAGCTAAATGTGATAGTTCTGGCTTTGCTCATTTGCTTTCTAGCAGCCTCCCCATGTTAGCCTTGCCACATGGTCAGTCTTCTGTTTGGTAGGTTTTATAAATCCTAAAAGTTCTAGCTCAGAAACAGCTCTAATAAACCGAGCACTGGAGGCTTTAGTTAAGGAAACTGGCCATACTGTATTTTTGACAAAAAGGAGTTAAAATCTCAATGTTAAAATACTAGTTGGTAAAGTGAAATAGATAGTTCAAATATAAACTCCTAAATTAAACTATAACTCTTACTGGAAAACATTAATTAGAATCCACTGTCAATAAAACATAAATGGAAAAGTACTTAATGCTTCCTAAATCTAATGTTTTACATAGTATGGCAGTTGCTCCCCACCCCCACTTCTAAATATAACATTAGAAAAATAGAGAATTCAGACCAGTGCAGTGGCTCATGCCTGTAATACCAGCACTTTGTAAGGCCGAGGCGGGCGGATCACCTGAGGGAGGTCAGGAGTTCGAGACCAGCCTGGCCAACATGGTGAAATCCCATCTCTCCTAAAAATATAAAAATTAGCCGGGTGTGGTGGCAGGCACCTGTAATTCCAGCTATTTGGGAGGCTGAGCAGATGAATTGCCTGAACCCAGGAGGCGGAAGTTACAGTGAGCCGAGATTGTGCCACTGCACTCCAGCCTGGGCAACAAAAGTGAAACTCTATCTCAAAAAAAAAAAAAAAAAGAATTCAATAATGGCAGTTTCATTTTTGGTAAATTTTGGAACATAATCTTGATATAAATTTGATACCAAAAGTTTTAGGTTTGGTCTCATTTTGGATTAAATGCAAAATAAAGATTTAGTAATTTCAGTTATTATAGCACAGTATGATTAATATTAACAAGTAATAAGGTTGTTTGGAGTATACCTTCATAAATAACTAGTGTAGATCTGGAGAAATTATAAAAATATTTTATGTGTATTTGGACATGTTTTTAAAAGGATACTGGATAATTTCATTCATTTCTTCTGAGGTTGCAGAATTTGCATCCATTTTTTCAGCAGCTGTCACGACTGTTGCAAAAGCCTTTTGAACAGACAAGACAGAAGAAAATAAAAATGTCTACAGTTGCCAAACATCTTTTACTCTACTTTTTTTTTAATGGATGTTGATAGCTGGCCCATATTTTTTATTGTATCAAATTTAAGATTGTCAAAACTACAATGATGATCACTTTAAACCACATATATATTAAAAGATTAATGGTTCCTGAATAATTTTGCTTTAGAGAACTCAGAGAAAATCAAGAAACAAAGCTAGTCAAAAGAAAAAGAAAGGCCTGTTTCCTCCACTCCTAATCTTACCCCAGCAAAATATCTATTTTTCTTGGAAGCAGTCAACTATGGATAATTTTTAATGGTGATAAGACATCTGTAGGGCCTGTAATAGAGTTAAGATCTTTGTAATATTATTTTGAAGACAGAAATAATAGTTGTTTATTTTAAAGAAAACGACAGTTGTTTATTGCCTTTCCAAGTATTCCTTGTACTTCCTGATTGCTAAATCTGTTATGTAGTTATTTCAATATTTTTTTCTTTTATCCAAGAAGAGAAATGCTAGTTAATAATATACTTTATTTTGTGAAATAACAGAACTGACCTAAATTGTTTGGTTTCTGCTTAGTGCTAACTATTGGGTTGTTAGATCACATACTTATTTTGACCTGGCATAAAAACACAGACTTGGCTTGGTTAAGGAATGCAGGATCAGAGAGCCGGGGATTGGGAGTGGGGATTGTTGAGCTACCACTTCCCAAGGAACTTTTAAAGTTTGAAGCGATTAATGCTTTCCAAATAAAAGACAAGGCATTAAACACAATATGAATTCCAAAGCACTAAAAGTATAAAACTACTCTGAGAAAGGCATCAGGAATGTTTAGAAAAATACCCAGCTTCCTCTTTTCCCGACCTACCTCCGACCAGTCCACAAGGTTGATTAGCCTGCTACACTCTAGGTGCAGTTTATATGCTATGCAGATGTCTGGGGCGATATTTGGAATGCAGCCTTCTTCACTTTTCAGTGCTTCATTCTAAAAAGTAACAGTAAACGAAGATCACTACCTTTTAGAAATAATTAGGAACAAAATCAGACATTAATAAAGCCCTCAACCTAAACTGAGTACATCAGTAAATGGAATCTTGGTTTCCTTTATTTAGTGAGTCTATTCAATAGTTAGCTAGTTCTTGTTTACGTTCTGTCTTGGTCACAACCCCTCTAGTTCTTAGTCACTAGAACAAGTCCCAAGATTAGAAGACAAGCACATTTTTCTCAATCCATAAATTACCAATTTCTGAGACCTGAATGCACTTGCTATAAAAAGTTTATGGAAATCTTTAGGAATACTTAATAAAATGGTACTTCCAACACTTGTTAGCTGAAGTCTAACAATTACTATACTGTATTAGTAAATACTAATACCACTTACCAGGGGTATAAATTAACTTTTAAAGAAAAGATTATGTTGACAACATTGCAGATCTTAAGCCCTAGAGAAACCATCAGTGTTTCTTCAACCTACTTGAAATCCATGGCTTTTATTGAGGAACACAATGTCTTACATACACACCCTGCTCTGATATTGTAATATCAGGGGTATATTATATCCCACCCAAAGACAACTGAAATCATACCAGTTCTCTTCTGTGACCCACTAGCCAAGAAGATAGATTTTTTTAAAGTTTTAATTTGTGGCTTATATATTAAAAATAACTGATTTTTTTGTTGCTGTTCCTTAAGTATGAAATTATTCAATGTTTTTCACCATCACTGAAAACCACTGATTTATATCATCCTACTCAGTACTCTTGTAATACTGAGCATGTTTGTGTGCCATTTTGCAATGAGAAAACAATACGCTGGAATGCTCTTCATAGGTCTTATGGAGTTGCTTAAGTATTTATTGTGGCAAGATTTCTGGGTATTTAACTTACAACTCTTTCATGTATATACAGCTTACTGAATATTTAAAGTGATCATTTTGCCTGGTCATAAGAAAGCTAGATTCTAAAATTGTGAGCTGTCTTAAGCTTTTGTTTAAAGAGCTTCTAGGAGTTGCTAACTGTGTCTGGGCTTTAGCAAGGGCACTACTGAAGTGTGTTGTTCCAGGAGTTTTAGTGGTGAACTGCTGGCTATCCTCCACACTCAGCTCTGCAGATGCTCTCAGAATAGATCTTTCTTTGGTTTAAAATCCAAGATGAAGTCCCAAAGTATTTCTCTTTCCCACTAGATACAACCATTTTGATCTTTAAGTAATTTATTAGGCCATATTGTTTAATCCCTATCTGTTGTTATGTTTATAAGAAACATTTCCTTTATTTTCACAGGAGTGGTAACATTATACTCTGGAGTCTGTACCTATGATCTGACTTTAGCATGTGAAGGGCAGAGACTACACATGGTCAAAAACTGGCAGCAACAGCTGACTACTGATTGGTATCTTTACAGGGTTAGAAATTTTTTCTACAGTCTCAAGAATTTTTAAAAATATATGAGAGGTGCAACCCTGAGCTGCCAACTCTCTGCTCATTAAACCATAACTGCAAATTTAGAATGTTTTTGTGAAGCCCAGAGCCTGAGCTAAACTATCAGGGAACTAAATGTTCATCTTACCTTTAGATAATAGTAAGGATTGTTGAGTGCAGTATGGAGGGCAACTCGCGGAGCAGCATTTAAATGCTCACGAAGGGCATGGGCAGCGCTGAAGTACACCACCTCATGGAGAGGCTGTGTCTCAGGAGGCAGAAGGTATTCTCTGAAACAGCCAGTCAGGTATCCATGTTTAGATAAGCACAGGTTTATTTTCTTTATATATATTTTCCTTTAAGCTCTGTTGGACTTCAATTTTTAATATAACATTTTTGTCAATCCTCTCTTGGTAGAGGATTGAACCAGTTACTAAAAGCAAAATCAACAACCACCAAAAACCAACAAATGAAACAAACCCAAACATCAGATCTAGTACAGTTTCACTCAGAACTGCACCTCATCCATATAATAGTTTTTAAACCTACCTGTAGACTCTTTATAAGAAGCTGTATATTTCAGTTCTGAGTTAAATCTTTAGGAACAAATGTATATACACTATATTTCTGCTCAGAAATCTTTAAGAAAGAATTTCTTAAAGTAAATGAGAAAACTGAGATATCTATGTTTTCTAGCACAGAAAACATTTAACCTTCGGCAATATTAAATAGAGGCACGGAATTAAGAGTTCAGGAAATTCTTCTTGGATCACAGAATTTTTTTTTTTTTTTTTTTTTGAGATAGAGTCCTGCTCTGTTGCCTAGGCTGGAGTGCAGTGGCACAATCTTGGCTTACTGCAACCTCTGTCTTCCAGGTTCAAGCGATTCTCCTGCCTCAGCCTCCTGAGCAGCTGGGATTACAGGTGTGTGCCACCATGCTCAGCTAATTTTTGTATTTTTAGTAGAGACAGGGTTTCACTATGTTGGCCAACCTGGTCTTGAACTCCTGACCTCAAGTGGTCTGCCTGCCTCAGCCTCCCAAAGTGCTGGGATTACAGGCGTGAGCCACCGCACCCGGTGTGATCACAGAATTAGTTGATATTTTTTACAGAAATGACACCTCAAAAGTTTTTTTTTTTTTTTTTGAGATTTTTTTTTTTTTTTTTGAGACAGAGTTTTGCTTTTGTCACCCAGGCTGGAGTGCAATGGCGCAATCTTGGCTCACTGTAACCTCTGCCTCCCATGTTCAAGCGATTCTCCTGCCTCAGCCTCCTGAGTAGTTGGGATTACAGGCATCCACCACCACACCCAGCTAATTTTTGTATTTTTTAAGAGAGATGAGGTTTCACCATGTTGGCCAGGCTGGTCTCAAACTATTGACCTCAGGTGATCTACCTGCCTCAGCCTCCCAAAGTGTTGGGATTACAGGTGTGAGCCACTAAGCCCACCCAAAAGTTTTTTATATATTGGAATTACTTTTTCCTTTAGAAGGCAGAAAAGGCTAATTCTTAGTTTCAGAGTATTGAAAAAAAATCATCAATAAAATTTCAGTTATTAAAAAATCTGCCATTATTCGGGATCTTTTTTACCTACGAGCTAGATGATAAAACAATTTTAATGAATTCTGAACTAAAAAATAAGGCATTAAAAATTCACTTTGAATGTATAATTAGCTCATCAGGTAGTCTGCGCCATGACAGTGATATCACACTGGATGGCCTGGAGGGTAGCAAATTGGAGGGGAGAAGCTTTGGCACATATAACCCAAAGACAGAGTAATGTCACTAGCTGAATTAAAGTATATAGTTAACTCACATGACTTCATAAAGAAGATTTCTGAGGCTTAGTCCAGTCCTGAGCCTAAAGTATTCTGGCCACATGACAGCTTGTATCAGCTCCTTTTCCCACCAGTGCAAGCAAAGCAAAGCAGCTACCTCAGTCCAGTCACTGGGGACATTATTCCCCTTCTTCCAAGTATCTTTTCGATTCTTCTGGAGAGGATACCACTCCCTAGAAATCCCCTACACTTGCTTTGTCCCAGTGTGGCCAGGAGCTTTGAAGAAGAGAGGAAGTGAAAAGTGTATTCAACATGGATATCACTCTTCACCATCCCCTACCTCTTCCCCCATCTCAAGAGCTAATGAGCCCTTGCTCATTCTAATTCTAGGTGCTGCTTTTTCTCCAGTGGCGACTGGAACAAAACTTACTTGCAAAGAGTGTATGATTTTGACTTGACCCTTACTAAGGTACAATATTCTATAACTCAGATACTGCTAGCATCTTAATTACTCAAGGTTGAGTTAACTTAGCTGTAGCTTCAGGAAATAGTTTCTGTAATGACTGGCTACCAATACCTCATGTAGTTATTTCCCAATCATTATACATGGCTGTCATTAAAAGATCTTGTTGCAGTCCCTGCTATGTAGTAAGGACTGAATATCTAACAAGGCAGCCAGATAGAGTCAACCTCAGAAACTCAAACCATTGCCTCATATTTTAACATTTGATATATAGAAATTCAGGCATTTCCCAAGACAAAAGTCCTCTCTAGATATTCTCAAAGAACCATCGGAGCAAAAATAAAATATCTGCCTTAATTTTGTTTCCACTGGCTGTATTAGTTGAACAACAACAGTGACAAATACATTATACATTAGAAGTTTTATCTGACTGTAGACTTGGAGATTGGCATAGAAACATATTTCTGCAACTTATTTACTGTGAGAAGAAATAAGCACAAGTCTGGCACTAGAGCACTGCATTATGCTCATTTTGGATTCAGACCAGATTTAAACAAATGATAAGCCTTCTCTGAAAGAGGTGGTTCTGAAGGAACTGGTGGAATTAGTATCAACAAGGGCTACAAAGTTGAAGCATGCTATTGGCAAAAACAGTAACTTAGAAAGTGGCAATATATTCTCTGCCCTCAAGATCTGGCAACTTATTCTTGCCTGTCAGTATTTTTGCCAAGAGTTGCTCATGGTATACTGTGAACTCTCCCTTCTGAAGTCTCCTGTTTATATTTGTCTTTAAAGGGCGTCCTTTCTCCATAACTCCAAGCTCTGCTCAACCATCTGTGATGTGGCCATTGAGGGCAGTGTAGAGAAATGGAGATGGCCTTTTGGCAGGTGTCAGGAGACTGAGACTGTGGACTTACATGAGTCATGGCCCCTCTCTGGGCTTCAGTTGCCACATGACTGATGCTTGGGTCTCTTTTTGTTCTAGCATGCTACAATTCTAATCTCTTCCCTCCTGGGACAATCTTGGAAAAGACAGTAAATCCTACTAGAGGAGATTTTGTGATTTTACAACAAAACACATTTTAATCACACTGAGCATTATTTCAACAGCTGCTCAGAAAGGTAAAAAGTCAGACATATTAGGTGAAGGATCATGAAAGGGGAATGGCTGATGTAGTTTCAGAGCCTACGATTTGGAATCTGTAGGAACTCTGGAACCTGACATTTGGCCTAAAATTGGCAAATCACATTGCAAAATTATTTTTAGTGACAATGTTCACTACTTGGTAAAAGGGAAGTCAAGAGCTTGGGGCTAGACTCTACAAGAACAGGAAAGCCCAGTAGGGCGAGGTTCACTCTAATGAGTTCTAAAATGTAATTTTTGACCAGTATTTGGCCAATAGTGCAGTTCATCCCTTTTTTTTTTTTCTTCTTGAGACAGAGTCTTGCTCTATCACCCAGGCTGGAGTGCTATGGCATGATCTCTGCTCACTGCAACCTCTGCCTCCTGGGTTCAAGCAATTCTCCTGCCCCAATCTCCCAAGTAGTTGGGATTACAGGCATGTGCCACCACACCCAGCTGACTATATTTTTTTTTTTTTTTTTTTTTTTAGCAGAGATGGGTTTTCACCATATTGGTCAGGCTGGTCTCAAATTCCTAGTCTCAGGTGATCTGCCCACTTGTCTCCCAAAGTGCTGGGATTACAGGCATGAGCCACCATGCCCAGCCATCACTTTGTTATAATATGTTTCTTTCTCTTTGATCTACTTTTTGTCACATTCAGGTGATCATTTTATTTTGTTTGGTTTTTGAGACAGTGTCGCTCTGTCGCTCAGGCTCAGAGTGCAATGGTGCAATGGCGTGATCTTGGCTCACTGCAACCTCTGCCTCCTGGGTTGAAGCCATTCTCCTGCCTCAGCCTCCCGAGTAGCTGGGATTACAGGTGTGCACCACCATGGACAGCTATTTTTTGTATTTTTAGTAGAGTCTGGGTTTCACAGTTGGCTAGGCTGGTGTCGAACTCCTGACCTCAGGTGATCTACCCGCCTTGGCCTTCCAAAGTGCTGGGATTACAGGTGTGAGCCACTGCTCCTGGCCTTTGTTGATTGTTTTGGACGTTTTTTGTGGTATTAGCACTTTCTCCCCAATAACTAGGAACAATGACTCTGTCCCCACATTATTCTGGAAAACGAAACTTTTCACTTTCAGAAAATGCATGTAATTGGTCAAAAAGGCACTCTTTCTCTTTAATAACTGCTGCTATTTTCTCGGTACTTTATTCTGTTCAGTGCCTAGCCTGCTGTTGGGTTTAAACTGCCAATAAAATTATAATAAACAATGATAACAGGTCCCCCCACCCCTCCTCAACTTTTTAAGTATTAAATCATTTTCTTTTGCACACTTCTCATTTTTTTCTGTAGCATGCCCAACTTCCACCAAACTTAGGTGGGAGATTTTACAAAGCTACATACATAAAGCTGACTTTTTGGGAAATCCATGAATTAAAATGATCTGGGTTTCCCAAAAAGGAATCATCTTAAAATACAGGCTGGACTGGAAGACTTCTAAATTTACTAAGCACATGTCTCAACATAAATTTAGTGCTGATAATGAGGTGCACTGGCATTGATTAGAATTAAATGTTCTTTCTTCAGAATAAAATAGAGCAGCATGGCTAGTCTGCTCTGTTTTCTGGTCTTGGTTCAGATCCAGCATGTATTCCTGGCAAAGATAAATTGTAACACAAATACTTTGTTATTACAAAGGGAAGAAACACTCACTTTCTATCTCATCTCTCCCCACCCGGCCTAATGAAGTAGATCAAATTTAAACCTATGTTCTTGAACTGAGGGTAAACAAATGAACTAAGTCATTTGGTTAGACATCTTGATGATGATGGAAAAGGAATAAAAATTACAATTCTAAGCTGGATGGAGAGACCTGAAAAGCATAAAGCCTAACCTAGGAGAAAAATGTTCTGGATTGACTATAGACAGCTATGACACAGTGTTATTTGGAAAAACAGCATGATTTTTAGCTCTTAAGAGCTAAATTTAGACTCACCTCACTAGACAGTCAATGAAGTCCACAACATTTTCTCTGAGTACTTCAAATTTGGTTGGCTTCTTACTTCTTCTTAACTCCTTCATTTCCAGTAAGGACTATGAATAAAAGAACATACATTTTCTGGTGTTTCTGAGACAGCTCCTCAGAGGGACATACTGTGGCTCAATTTCTGCTCTATATTGTGAATATACATTTTTTAAAAATCAAGAAAAGTAACTAAATCTAATGATTTAGGCTCTTTTAAATCTCTCAGTTTGATCAAATCAAAAAATACATCAGATAACTAATCGGATTTCTTTTGTGTAAACATGTTCCCATTTTCTCTTATTGCTAGCTAATTCTCTTTTTATCACTAAGCCCGCAGGAAGAGTTTCCACCTAAGTTAGCTAGTAGATTCCAGAATGTGTATATGTAGAGTGACAATGAGATGAAGAGGATATTCAACTTAGAAGTGAGCTAAAAGTCTGCTTTGTTCCTGGTTCTTTTTTCTTTTTTTCTTTTTTTTTTTTTTTTTGAGACAGAGTCTTGCTCTGTCACCAGGCTAGAGTGCAGTGGAGCAATCTTGGCTCACTGCAATCTCTGCCTCCCAGCAGGTTCAAGTGATTTGCCTGCCTCAGCCTCCAGAGTAACCGGGACTACAGGCGCACACCACCATGCCATGCTCATTTTTGTATTTTTAGTGAGACAGGGTTTCACCATGGTGGCCAGGCTGGTCTCGAACTCCTGACCTTGTGATCTGCCTGCCTCAGCCTCTCAAAGTACTGGTATTACAGGAGTGAGCCACTGAGCCTGGCCCTGGTTGTGGTTTAAAAAATGAAAACAAAAACGTGCAGGCAGAGCTAATCTAGATCACAAATTGCAAAAAGGGAGTGTCACAGGATGCAGCTGGAAGGAAGGAAAGTAACCTGACCTTCTGAAGATGATAGAGGTCTGTCTTCTGAAGCCCCTTTGGCTGTGACCCAGAAGCATCTTCCTCCTCTTTGGTTTCTGCTTTTAATACAAAACCAACAGACATCAATGAGGGCAAATCCAAGTCAAGAGAACCAACATTTCTACTAATCCAAAGGAAGCAAGTTTCACACACACACACACACACACACACACACACACACACACATATATATGCACACATATATATACACACATATATATACACACACACACACACACACACACACACACACACACACACACACACATATAAATGTGGCAAGGGATCAAGATTCCATCCAATAAATGATTTCCTGCAGAAGCTGAAGGCCAATAAATATTACATAACTTGTGCTATAGTGAGGTCTTTAAAAAACCAGCTGCTGAATTTTCAAAGTGTTACCACAATGAAAACAAAACAAAATACAACCAAACAAAACTCCCTCAAACCAACAGCAAAAAGTCTCAAAATTTTTTTTTTATTTTTTGAGACAGAGTCTTGCTCTGTTGCCTAGGCTGGTATGCAGTGGTGATTATCTCAGCTCACTGCAACCTCCGCCTCCCAGAGTCAAGCAATTCTCCTGCCTTACCCTCCCAAGTAGCTGGGATTACAGGCGCACACCACCATGCCCAGCTAATTTTTGTATTTTTAGTAGAGATGGGGTTTTGCCATGTTGGCCAGGCTGGTCTGAAACTCCTGACTTCAGGTGATCCACCTGCCTCAGCCTCCCAAAGTGCTGGGATTACAGGCATGAGCCACCGCGCCTGGCCACTCAAATATTTTTGATGTTATACATATTTTTTTTTTTTAAAAATCACAAACTTAAAACTGTTTTCCTTTGATTATGCCAAGATTATAAACAACACAATTTGAGTATGAAGAAGGTAGTGTGTAGAAGTTTTGAAATAATCCACTAAATCATAAAGTGCATCATGGTTCTTTAGCAAAGGGAAAGAAAACGATAACTGCTTAACTATACAGCTGTGTTGCTTCTAGAGAGCATAAGGCTCTCATATTCTTCAAGTGCAGGTTGCATTTTATGAACTAGACACACATGTTTTGTTTGGCCTAAAACTATGACGGGGATGCAGCTGGAGAATATGCATGGCTCTTAAGGAATAAACTGCTTTTTAGCTATAAATGATTTCTGGTTCAAAAAAGATGTAACTAAAGGTTAAAATATCTACTAGATTCTTTGTCCCATTTCATTAACATGTAGTCTGCAACATGTTAATAAATCTAATATACCTTTGAAATAAATCTAATAAGGGCTGGATGAAGTGCCTCTTTCCCGTAATCCCAGCACTTTGGGAAGCCACGGTGGAAGGATCACTTGAGGCAAGGAGCTTGAGACCAGGTTGGGCAACACAGTGAGACACTGTCTCTATTAAAAAAAAAAAAAATTAATCAGGCTGATGAGGTGGTTCATGCCTATAATCTCAACACTTTGGGAGGCAGAGGCAGGCAGACTGCTTGAACCCAGGAGTTCAAGACCAGCCTGAGTAACATGGCAACACCCTATCCCTACAAAAATACAAAAAAAATTAGCCAGGCATGGTGGGATGTGCCTGTAGTCCCAGTTACTTGGGAGGCTGAGATTGGAGGATCAATTGAGCCCAGGAAGACAGAGGATGCAGTGGGCCCATCATGCTACTGCACTCTAGCCTGGACAACAGAGGGAGACTCTGTCTCCAAAAAAAAATAAATCAGCTGGGCCTTGTGGTGGGTTCCTGTAGTCCTAGCTACTCAGGAGGCGGAGTGGGAGGATTACTTGAGCCCAGGAGTTCTGAGGTAACTGTGAGCTATGACCACTGCACTTTAACCAGGACAACACAGCAAGATCCAGTCTCAAGAAAACTCTGATATGACACTCTGTCCTACTTAACTCTCCTGTTAAGTAATTTTAAATCCAAACTGTCATATGTAATAAATGTTAAGGAATAGAGATCGCATATAGCATTCAAATATTTCTACTCATCCAATGTGGCAAGTTTTAATTTCAGTTAATAATGAGTCACTTTTGAAAATCAAGAAATAACAGACAATTCTTCAAGACAGTGGTTTTGCTTTAATTTGTCAAATTCTTTATTCTTTAGGCTACTAATCACCTTAATTTCCAACCTTCCCATTTCAAAAGCTGCATTCCTTTATTCAGTTCTAGCATATCACAGAATTTGTTTACTAGCTCAGAATTCTAATTAAAATTTTATCTGGATTACCTCTAATTAATGGTGTCCGGAAAAAAAAAAAAGAAAAAAATTATATGTGCAGTTTATTTTTACAGAAATCCCCATAAGTCCAATTTTGTAAAAGATTGAAATTTGCCTTATTTACCTTATATTCTTCTAAGCTTTTTATCCTACTTATGTTACTTAAGGGTGGCCTCTTGCTGATTCAGTGGTTACTACTAGGGTGTATTTAAACTGTGAATCAGCGATAGAAAAACAATGAACTAGTGGTTAAAAGAGATGGGCTCTCGTCTGAGTGGTACTACTAGCTAGCTGTGTGATCTCAGACAAGTTACTGTCTTTTCCTAGACTTTAGTTTCTGGTTATAGCTGGACTCAATGATCTTAATGATACCAACTTCCAGCCCTTAAAAGCTTTTGTGTTCTGAAAAGTAGTTCACCTCATCCTGTAGTGGCAAGAGCAATGCCCACACATAACCTGGAAGAAAACCCCTTAGTGCTTGTTGATGACTTCCTCACTCTGGCTGCTCAGGCCACTCTAGTCAGGCAATATTCTCTTTCATCTTCCATGACTGAGCACTCATCAGGTGCCTCACATTGCGGCTATGAGAGATATGGGAAAATTTTTGCAAAAGCAGTTTCCTAAATAGCCAAAAGATTTTTAAGACAAAGGAACCCTTGCCAAACATAGAAAAGATTAAAATAGACATTTTAACTAAGATATTTTCAACATGTCATGTCCAATTTTATGTGATTATATATGAAAAAACTGCCTCTTCCCCCAAAACTCCATTTTTAAAAAAAATCCTTAAATTTGGGAAAAGTAAAAGGTACACATCAATATTTTTTTTTGTTGTTGTTCTACTAAGAGAATACCATATTTTATTGCTAGAAACAGAGCAAGAGAAGAGCCCTGAAAAGCTAATAATATCAACCTGAGGGGCTTCATCAGAACAAAGAATTCCTAGTGCATTTAGGGAACAGAATGTGGCTACCTATATACAGTCAGAAACCCTAAGCATTCAGGATATGTAAATGATCATGTGGAGGTCACAGGAAGGAGAGAAACTGTAACCCTCCAACAGTGAAGAGTGCCAGGCTGCCTCAGTTAATTTAGGACTGAAAGATTCCAGCTTTTGAAAATTCGATTAAAGTAAGCCTCATGCAGATTTTGGTAATCAACATACCAATGAGCTTCATTGCTGTGAAAGCAGTTCATAGCTATTAATTTTTCAAGCTTACAAATGATTTATGCACTGCTTTTGAAATCTACAAAGAACTTGATGAAATGCTTAAGAAAAAAAACCTCTAAAAGGAGTTCTTAGTTATGATACCCTGCTACTTTTTGCTTTCTTTTTGTTGACTTTTTAAAGACAAATTCTCCAAACTGTTGATCTGGAGAAATAATTTCTTTTTCTGCCCATTTGTTCTTCATTGTTTAAACCAAATCTAGAAGAGAAGCATTTGGCCTATTTGTGATTGTTAAAATGGGATACCATGAGGCTTGGTATACTTACTCATCATGAACTACTTTATCTCTTCATCTATAAGCACATCAGAAGGTGGGGTTTTCCAACCATTTTAGTTAAATGACTGTCATGGCCAATAGATTGGGAGAATATTATTCTCTTACCATCAAGGTTCTGAAACTGGGCCAGGAACTCCTCTATTCTCTTAGCTGTGCTGCCAAGGTGCTTTTCACAAGACTTAAAAACCTTGAAACATTTCTCAAGTATGATCATCAATTCATCCTTTGCCAACATCCTAGAACAGAGTCAGTGACAGGAAATGTAATGTAACTAGAAAATCAACACCCTTAAAAAGCATTATATTTAATACAGATATTAAATGTTTCTGATCAGAAGATAAAAGAAATTCTTCATTAGTAGTTACCAACTTTTTTTTTGTAGAGATTTTCCTCCACATATGTGACATTCAGAATTCTTGAAGGATCCTCATGATAAAACTTAGCTTAGAAAATTTACAAAGGTCTGGATTCACAGTGTGGCTCTAACACTATGTTTGCAATATACAATAAGATTATTACACACCTCTGATCCTTGGTTTGTTGTCTGTAAATTGGAAATAATAACTCGCTTATTTCACAGGTTAGATGGAGATTTAAAAATTAAATGAGAAGGCCAGTCGTGGTGGCTCACACCTGTAATCCAGCACTTTGGGAGGCTGAGGAGGGCAGATCACAAGGTCAGGAGTTTGAGACTAGCCTGGCCAACATGGTAAAACCCCATCTCTACTAAAAATACAAAAATTAGCTGGGCATGGTGGTGTGTGCCTATAGGCCCAGCTACTTGGGAGGCTAAGGCAGAAGAATCTCTTGAACCCAGGAGGAGGAGATTGCAGTGAGCCACAATCGCACCACTGCACTCTAGCCTAGTGACACAGTGAGACTCTGTCTCAAAAAAAAAAAAAAAAATTAAATGGAAGAAGCATTGGAAGAATCTAGCACAGTGCTTACCACACAGTACATGATAGTTTTCCTTTCCTTTGATCTAAACATATATGTGAAACAAGAAATATCTATAGAGGATATGATGTGCTAAATGTAAACTTGTTTGAAAGAACCAAAAATGTAAGTACGCTCATTTCTCTAATTATCACCATTTAAACCATGCTTTACATCTCCTGTGGGCTTTATAAACATCAGTCAGTAAAGCCACTGAACTTTAAATGAGGTGGCAATTCTAATTGTTATTTATAGCACAGGCAGAGTAGTTGAGTAGCTCATTCACAGCTATAGAAAAAAATCTTTGTTAGAAATGGAGAGAGAACACAGATACTCTAAAGTTAGGATCTTGTTCTTGGAGCTTACAGGTTTCTCCACTAGATCATACTCAGTAATAGTATCAAAAGAAATCAGATCAATATTAGCAAATTTTAAGCAGTGGCATTACATAAGTACCCAAATTATGCTCAGCAAATTCATCTAAGTCATTAAAACTATGATGATTAATAGTTCTAATATTAACAATGAAGTACACACAAATCCAGAATGTGGGCATTTTGCAACACAACTAATTAACTTATGTTTGACATATTTCAAAATTAAAAGGTGAGGAAGAATACTAATATTGCTGAGTTGGGAAAAAGAGAAACAAAGCTAAATGGACTATGATTACTGAGAAATTGAACTGATTGCTTGAACAAAAATTTAAACCCCAACAACGACAACCAAAAGTAGACAACCACTAAATATAGAAATTGTTAGAGGTAGACCAAATGGTAAATTTCCCCAGAGTTTGTTTAAAAAGTATAAAACTTATCTTCCTCTTTCTACAATAATTATCTAAGGTAAAATCTTTATCTAAAAATAAGCTAAGATATTTTATACCTGATTACATTTAAGATTTAAAATTTGTGGCTTTCTATTGCCCAAATGGAGTTATGAGAAAGGCTCCATGGTGGGCATGTCTGGCCTATTCAAGAAAACAAGGAGGCCAAGATGTCTGAAGTGGAGAGAGAGAATGAGCAGACATCAGAGAGAGGCCATGTGGAGTGTGGGGTGAAGGAGTCACGTAGTGTCACTGTATAGACTATGGCTTTTACTCTGAGTAAAATGGGGAGTTAATGGAGGGTTTCAAGCAAACGAGTGACATTATCTGAAATATTTTAAAAGGACTATACTGACTGCTATTTTGAGAAAAACCTGTAGGGGAACAGAAAAACCAGATAGGAGGCTACTGCAATAATCCAGCTGAGAGATGACGATGACTTGGACTATGGTGGTACAAGCAAAGGAAGGTGGCAAGAAGAGGTCTGATTCTGCACAAATTGTGAAGGCAGAGCCCAGGCTTTTGGTTTGAACAATCAGAATGATAAAGAGACAGTCAGAAAATGATAGGTTTCAGGGGAAAAGCAGTTCAGTTTTGGGTATGTTAACTTTGATGTATGTATTGGATATCTAAGTGGAGGTATTAAATAGGACATAGATGGACATAACAGCCTGGCACTCAGGAGAGAGGTATAGGCTTATGACTAAGCCCTGGGGCACTGTAATGTTAGGATGTCAGAGAGAGGGGAAAGCACTAAAGGAGAATGTGAAGGAGCATGCACTGAGGTAGGAGGAAAACTAAGAAAGTCCTAGAAGTCCATAAGAAAGGAGTGATAAACTGCTGTCAAATGCTGATAACAGGTTAATGCTGATAACAGGTTAATGCTGGATTTAGGAACATGGAGGTCACTGGTGACTTTGATCAAACTAGTTTTGATCAAAGCACAAACCTAATTGTAATCAATTAAAGAGAGAATGGGAGGAGAAGAATTAGTGACAATAAGAATGCCTTCCAATTTTGGTGCATTCCAACTAACATTTTGTTTTAAAAGAAAGAGAATAAAATTGTAAAGAAAATAGGAGAACTGAAAAGTCTGAAAGCCACCATGTAAGATTAAAGAGAAATAAACAGACCTTATCTTTATCCAACTTGATTAAGAAATAATTATTTCACTATCAGGTAAATGGTTCAAAAATGCCTGTGATTGGCCGGGCGCGGTGGCTCAAGCCTGTAATCCCAGCACTTTGGGAGGCCGAGGTGGGTGGATCACGAGGTCAAGAGATCGAGACCATCCTGGTCAACACCGTGAAACCTCGTCTCTACTAAAAATACAAAAAATTAGCCGGGCATGGTGGCGTGTGCCTGTAATCCCAGCTACTCAGGAGGCTGAGGCAGGAGAATTGCCTGAACCCAGGAGGCGGAGGTTGCGGTGAGCCGAGATCGCGCCATTGCACTCCAGCCTGGGTAACAAGAGCGAAACTCCGTCCCCCACCCCAAAAAAAAAAAAAAATGCCTGTGATACTTAATGTATTAAAAGCTTTATAGGTAATCTGTCAAAGGAGTTGAGAAAAACAACAAAGACTTTATAGGTTATTTTTTTAAAAAGTTTTCTTCACTAAGACAGAAAGAGAATCATTTAGCAATCATTAAAAGCAACCATCCTGCAGGGCAATGGAGGGTTCTGCTTCATCATGCAGAGAGCCAATAATTTCTGGTTAAGTACTAATTATATAAAGGTCTGATTATGAGAACAGGAAGGAAAAACTGGCCAATCCATGGCTAATGCAAACACCTTCTGACGGATGAGTTTTCAAGTTCTAAACAGACATTACCATTCCCAAGCAATTTTGAAAAATATTCAGAACTCAAACTTGCAAATGTATATATATCAACGAAGATTGGAAGTTAAACGCAACAAAGCAATTATGTAGGATCATAACAAAGAAACAGAAACCAAAAGTATGTGTATCTCCTCCAAAGCCTTGATATTTCATATTAGGTGCCACTTCTAGAGAAGTTGTCCAACACCACAAATAGAGGTTAACTGTCCAGTCTATTGGTTCCTCAGCACCCTACTCATGACCCATCACAACTCTCACTGTATTGTAGCTCTCTACTGTTCACTTCAATCATTTGACCAAAATTTTGTATAGGTAAGGACCAGGGTTATCTTTGTCATCTGATCAGTGGTTTCAAAAATGAAGCATTTAAAAAACTCATTTTTTTTTTGAATGAATGAGGAAGGCAATGACCATGTAATAATTGATAATTCATTTCCTAACCTAGTGCCTTAGTGAAGAATACTTTTTCTAAGGGGAACAGTTCTCAGACCGGCTCATCTTGGGAAGCACCTGAAGGTCATGGTGCCCTTTGTGGGACCACAGGTTTTTTCTGTGAAATATATCAAAAAGAATAAATTTAATTCACCCCATGGTTAGAAGCAACTTTAGTAAGCTCAAATATACACATTATTGATGCAATTTTTTTTTTTTTGGGGACAGAGTCTTGCTTTGTCACCCAGCCTAGAGTGCAGTGGAGCAATAACAGCTCACTGCGACCTCCACCTCTCAGGTTCAAGCAATCCTCCCACCTTTGCCTCCTGAATAGTTGGAATTATAGGCATGAGCCACCATGCCATGCTAATTTTTGTATTTTTAGTAGAGATGCAGTTTCCCCATGTTAGCCAAGCTGGTCTTGAACTCCTGACCTCAGGTGATCCGCCCACCTCGGCCTCCCAGAGTGCTGGGATTACAGACATGAGCCACTGTGCTAGCCTATTGATGTAATTTTTTTTTTTTTTTTTTTTTTTTTGAGATAGAGTGTTGCTCTGTAGCCCAGGGTAGAGTGCAGTGGCGCAATCTTGGCTTACTGCAACCTCCACCTCCTGGGTTTAAGTGATTCTCCTGCTTCAGGCTGTGAGTAGTCAGGATTACAAGCATGTGTCACCACACCTGGCTAATTTTTGTATTTTTAGGAGAGATAGAGTTTTACCATGTTGGACAGGCTGGTCTCGAACTCCTCACCTCAGGTAATCTGCCCACCTCAGCCTCCCAAAGTGCTGGGATTATAGGTGTGAGCCACTGTGCCTGGCCTTTTTTTTTTTTTTTTTGTTTTTTGAGACAGGGTCTCATTCTGTTGCCCAGGCTGGAATGTAGTGGTGTGATCACAGCTCACTATAGCCTCAACCTCCTGGGCTGAAGTGATCCTCCTGCCTCAGCCTCCCAAATAGCTCAGACTATAGGCATGTACCACCATGCTCATACAAATTTTGTATTTTTTTTTTGTAGACATGGGGTTTCTCCATGTTGCCCAGAGCAGTCTTTAACTCCTGGGCTTAAGTGATCTGCCTGCCTTGGCCTCCCAAGTCCTGCAGTTCATAGGAGTGAGCCACTATGCCGTTCCAGAAATTATATTTTAATGATGAAGTCTCACAAAGTTCTTGGATAGATAAATCTACATCATCATAAGTTAGAT